ACGTCACAACGACGTAACAACGACGCAAAAACAACGTAACAACGTCACAACGACGTAACAACGACGCAAAAACAACGTAACAACAACGTCACAACGACGTCACAACGACGTAACAACGACGCAAAAACAACGTAACAACAACGTTACAACGACGTAACAACGACGCAAAAACAACGTAACAACAACGTTACAACGACGTCACAACGACGCAAAAACAACGTAACAACAACGTAACAACAACGTTACAACGACGTAGCAACAACGTAACAACGACGCAAAAACAACGTAACAACAACGTTACAACGACGTCACAACGACGTAACAACGACGCAAAAACAACGTAACAACAATGTCACAACGACGTATATCGACACAATGCGCCTTCCCCGGGACCCACAGACACGACGAACAAGGAGGAGGAGGAGGTGGAGAGACATCGTCACAGAGACATCGTCACAGAGACATCTTTACAGTAACATCGTTACAGTGACATCATTACAGTGACATCGTCATAGAGACATCGTCACAGTGACATCGTTACAGAGACATCGTCACAGTGACATCGTTACAGAGACATCGTTACAGTGACATCGTCACAGTGACATCGTTACAGTGACATCGTTACAGTGACATCGTTACAGTGACATCGTCACAGAGACATCGTTACAGTGACATCGTCACAGAGACATCGTTACAGTGACATCGTTACAGAGACATCGTCACAGAGACATCGTCACAGAGACATCGTCACAGAGACATCGTTACAGAGATATCGTTACAGAGACATCGTTACAGAGACATCGTCACAGTGACATCGTCACAGTGACATCGTCACAGTGACATCGTTACAGTGACATCGTAACAGTGACATCGTCACAGAGACATCGTTACAGTGACATCGTTACAGAGACGTCGTTACAGAGACATCGTTACAAAGACATCGTCACAGTGACATCGTTACAAAGGCATTGTCACAGTGACGTCGTTACAAAGACATCGTTACAGAGACATCGTTACAGTGACATCGTTACAGTGACATCGTTACAGTGACATCGTCACAGAGACATCGTCACAGAGACATCGTTACAGAGACATCGTTACAAAGACATCGTCACAGTGACATCGTTACAAAGACATCGTTACAGTGACATCGTTACAGAGACATCGTCACAGAGACATCGTTACAGAGACATCGTTACAGAGACATCGTTACAGTGACATCGTCACAGAGACATCGTTACAGAGATATCGTTACAGAGACATCGTTACAGAGACATCGTCACAGTGACATCGTCACAGAGACATCGTTACAGAGACATCGTTACAAAGACATCGTCACAGTGACATCGTTACAAAGACATCGTTACAGTGACATCGTTACAGAGACATCGTCACAGAGACATCGTTACAGAGACATCGTCACAGAGACATCGTCACAGAGACATCGTTACAGAGATATCGTTACAGAGACATCGTTACAGAGACATCGTCACAGTGACATCGTCACAGAGACATCGTTACAGTGACATCGTCATAGTGACATTGTCACAGAGACATCGTCACAGAAACATCGTTACAGAGACATCGTTACAGTGACATCGTCACAGTGACATCGTAACAGTGACATCGTCACAGAGACATCGTTACAAAGACATCGTCACAGTGACGTCGTTACAGAGACATCGTTACAGTGACATTGTCACAGTGACATTGTCACAGAGACATCGTCACAGTGACATCGTCACAGAGACATCGTTACAGAGACATCATTACAGTGACATTGTCACAGAGACATCGTTACAGTGACATCGTTACAGAGACATCGTCACAGTGACATCGTCACAGTGACATCGTTACAGTGACATCGTAACAGTGACATCGTCACAGTGACATCGTTACAGTGACATCGTTACAAAGACATCGTCACAGTGACATCGTTACAGTGACATCGTTACAGTGACATCGTCACAGTGACATCGTTACAGTGACATCGTTACAGTGACATCGTCACAGTGACATCGTCACAGTGACATCGTTACAGTGACATCGTTACAAAGACATCGTCACAGTGACATCGTTACAGTGACATCGTTACAGTGACATCGTCACAGAGACATCGTTACAGAGACATCGTTACAGAGACATCGTTACAGTGACATTGTCACAGAGACATCGTTACAGTGACATCGTTACAGAGACATCGTCACAGTGACATCGTCACAGTGACATCGTTGCAGTGACATCGTAACAGTGACATCGTCACAGTGACATCGTTACAGTGACATCGTTACAAAGACATCGTCACAGTGACATCGTTACAGTGACATCGTTACAGTGACATCGTCACAGTGACATCGTTACAGTGACATCGTTACAGTGACATCGTCACAGTGACATCGTTACAGTGACATCGTTACAAAGACATCGTCACAGTGACATCGTTACAAAGACATCGTCACAGTGACATCGTCACAGTGACATCGTTACAGAGACATCGTTA